ATACTATCACTATCTTAAGCACCGAAGATAGTTTACTATTGCTTTGTCAGGCAAATATATCGTTGTACAAATGACCATTTTCAAATGTCCTTAAGAAATGTTTGCTATATAATACCAACGGTATTTCAGAAATGTACAACACACAGTATATAAATATTAAGTTGGATTTATCATCATCCATAATAAATGAGTTTCAAGTCTGAAAACGACGCCTGTTTTGTCTCTTTAGAAGCAGTACTGCAACAGGCAACATAATAAATTAATAATTAACCACCGACGTTAACTTTCCGAAATAACCAACCTTCTTTTCTTTCTCCTTCCCTTTCGGTTTTTTCCTCTTTCTCTTCACTATTTATTGGGCCAACACAGTTTTGCTTCAACTTGCTATACCCCAAGGCCCAAGTTTGAGAATTCAAGCAGAAAGAATATGCAATGCATGGTTTTACATTTTGAAGGGTCCGACCGATCCAGACTCTTTTGACCACTTTGATTGGTAACCATTGATAAACTGGTTGGTTGCTGCCCTGCCCGTCTGCAGATTGCAGACAGCCCAACCACTTGCAGTCGTAGATATATAGCTGAAAAATCCTTACATTTTGATGGCATTTGTTTCTTATAGTAACAAAAAAGTTATAACCATAGTTTAGGATTTAGGTTACGTCGATTTCTTATGCACAATCACTTTTGCTTTCTTTTACGGGATGAGTTAGGATGGTTGCTGTTTTTTTAGTAACCATCGTGGCTACCTACATCTCCACATTTCATTTTTAACATTTTTAAATTGACAAACACGATTTATTAGGGATAATTTTGGAAAAAAATAATAACCAGACTGGATTACTATTCCTAATTTTTTTTCCATATATTATCCTTAAACCCTAAATAATTATCCCACCTCTAATAATCTAACCGTCTCCTCCCTCTCTCTCCCCTCGGCGTGACTCCACAACGGCAGCCACCGCCGTCCGCCATGCCTCCCTCTCTGTCCACCCACCCACCCGCCCACCCACGTCCTCCATCCATCCATCCCTCCATTCTTACACCCACCCCACCCCATCTCATCCCATCTCTCTCTCTCTCTCACTCACTGTTGGTGTGACGATGAGGAAGCAACCCTCAGCCGGATTCGAGATCTAGCTTTTTTTGCATTGGTATGTATTTCTTTCATATTAGTATTGATTTTTCGTAGTTGTATTTTTTTTATTGGTATTGATGGTATTGTATTGATATTGATCTTCATATATTGGTATTTGTTCAATCTACAATGGTATTGGTTAATAAGTGGTGTACATTGTGATAACGATAGTGGTAGTGTTTTTTCGCTTTGGTATTGATTATGTAATGGTGTTGTTTTTATGGTATTGATGTTATTGTATTGGTAGTGATCTTCATGTATTTGTATTAGTTAAATTTGCAATGGTAGTGGTTAATAAGTGGTATATGTTGTGTTAGTGGTAGTGTTTTACGTTTTGGTATTGACTTCTTATTTTTTCTATAATGGTATTGGTGCTCTTCGAAGTGATAATGGTTGTCTAATGGATTGGTAGTAGTTTTTTTTTTTTTTTTTGCGCAGAAAGATTGAGAAAAATAAGGAAATTATATATGGTTGGAGATTACGGAAGCGAGAGGAAGAGAGAGAATTATAATTAATAGATTTTTGTAACTGCCTAAAATATAATTTATTATAAAAATTAATTAATATAATTTATTTTTCCATAACCAATTTACCCTTAGTAACCATGGTGATAACCCCTCCCTGATTTTACTAACTATTGTTTAGTGTACGCTACCTGTCATGCATCTTCATGCCTTGAATTTATAGTGCACGCTACCCAACCAGCCGCGTCATGAATTAAGAATCAAGGATACAGCTCCCGAGAAACCACACGAATTGGCTAGGGAGAATAACAATGATGCGGTTGATGAATTACATGAAATGGTCATCCCATGAACAATTATTCAACTGTAGAAGGAACGAGTAGAACAAAAAAAATGAATAAAAGAACATCTACCGACATGAGGAAGAAAGAAAATTGTGAGAATTCCCTTCAAAGATAGGAACGGTTTTATAGGAATGGAAATGGACAACTATGTGGTGGTACAAGCACATGCAACGACATTAAACGTCTCCAATACTGCATGTATAGGACAGCAACAGTGCACACCAACTGTAAGGACACAAGCATAGTGTACGTCCTTTTCACATTGAGTACAAGCAGACAAAATAGAGAGAGCTCACCTAGACGCGTCCGTAGGGAAGGAGCTCCTCCTTGGCTACAGTATGCTTCCATCCAAAATTATATATTCTAATAAGTGCCATTTTAACAACTCAAGTTGAAAAGAACACCAAATAATAGGTAACCAACACCAATAATGACGAAGAGAGAGAGAGAGTTAAGTCATGAGAGTGAAATATCAATACTTCTCGTTGCAACTCAGATTTATAATTTGGGGTTGTTTGGAAGTTGTGATTGTTAGAATTGTGTTTGTTGAATACATGTATTGTGATTTGTGCACAATACAATGTTTGGAAGTGTCAAAATGTTAAACAATGCATGCATTGTTTTAGGTAGGTCCCACCAACAATCACAAAAATGATGCATTATACAATCTCAACTAAAAGTTGAGATTGTTGTGATTGTTGGGTTTAGATTTGTGTCAACTTTTTCTTTCCATTTATATCTCCCAATATTTTTTGTCTTATTCTAAAAGTTGAGGGTAAATGTGACATTTCCCCATAAAAGTAACTATCTGTGAATCAATGCATAAAGTAGAATCTCAACAACCAAACAATGTATTGTTAAAATGCATCCATTGTATCAATATAATGCGATTTAACCACAAAACCACAACCTTATTTCCCCCCAACCCTAGCCATTCTTGCTGCCGCTTCTATACGATCCTCCGGAGATATTGTTAGTGAGCCTTCACGCCATAGAACTTGGCTGAAGAGTTTCTTCTCATAGCCATGGGTTGGCTTCTATTCCATACCCTTCCACTTACTTAAAATTAGGGGTGGAAATTGGGGTGAGTGTGGTTACCCACCCCACATTTTGCGGGTAACCACACCCACAAATATAGAATTATGGTACCCACAACCCGCCACATAGTGGGTAGTGGTTAACCACTATCCATTACAGGTTGGTGCGGGTTGGATGTGGATACCCACAAAAATTTCCTTCCTTCACCCTTTGGACTCGTACATGATAAACCTATCGGTCGAGTGACGACAAAAAAAAACCCATTGAGTTAAAACTAAGTAAAGAAGCCCAAGACATGGAACGAGCGAGGATCCGGTATTCGGAACCTCCTAAGTAGTCAGCCTCCCTCTCCTCGATTCACTTCACTCACTTACATGTCACTTCACTTTCTTTAGGAAATGCATATTGATAACGAGCATGGGTTGGAGGGGATCTATTCTAAGTATACACAAAAACAAAAAACCCGAGTTGCGAAATTAGTGTCTTTTTACACAAAAACAAAAACCTACATAAAAGAGAGTTAATAAAGTTCTAAATAAACTATAAACCACATTTATTGGCTTTGTATTGTTATAAAATTAACATATACCACGCGGACAATGCTTATTTAATAAAAGTACCTCATACGAACACGATGTATTGACTTGTTTTTGTTTTATAAATAACTATATATTTGATTTTGGAGCATATTTTAATTTTTAGCATTTTACTTTTCACGTAATTTAATATTACAAAGTATTATTAATAAATAAATATACTTAGTGTGGTTATTGTGGGTTAACCGATGTGGATAGTGGTTAACCACTAACCATAAAAATTAATATTTTGCTACCCACACCCAACCCACTATCCAGAAATTGTGGGTATGGTTACCCACAATTAGAACTGTCAAAATTGAACCCGACCCGACTAACTCGCCCAACCCACCCGACCCACAACCCGTCCGTAACCCGATTTAACAAAAAATCAACCACCAGAAGCCCGCCCGTAACCCGAAACCAATTGACCCATAATCCGATCATCCCATAACTCGATGAACTCGTTATTCGATCCAACCCATAACCCGACCCATATATAACCCGAATGATTCATAACCCAAATAACCTGTAACCGAACCAAACCCAACTCGAATAACCCGAATAACCCATTTGACCCGAATGCTTGTACAAAAATTCAATGTATACATTATTATATTTTTAAATTTACCAAGAAAGAACTGTTGTTCTCATAATAATTGAAAAATTATTTGTAGAATTGATGTTATAAATTGAGTTTTTTCTTAAATATTTAATTTTTAAAATAATAATATGTGAAATATCTTTTCATTCATTTTTTATTTTATGAAATTCAAAGGATAAATTTTTGAAGATAATAGGAAAAGTTAGACACAAATTCGTATCTCCACCACCCATAAATATATTAAAAAAATCAACCCATGAAAATCAATGAAATCCCCAAAATCAATGATCCCTATCAAGATATATAAGTAGATAGTTTACCCTTCTTACTTCATTCTCAACTTTTTATTGATTTTTTATAAATTAATAAATCGACGATTCGAACTAGATGATAATATCATATTTGAGTGAATCGTTGTTCGACCCATAAGTTTTCGGATGAGATGTTACCGTGAATATATAAAAAATTGTGAAGATATATAAGTGGGTGATTCGGAATGATGTTCATAAGTCTTCGTGAAAATGAAGAGACACACATCTAGTTCATACTATATTTAATTAAGACGATTCATTTCGAGATGTATAAGCATATAGTCTACCTTTTTTACTTCATTCTCAAATTTTTACTGATTCAATTTTTTTATAAATTAATAAAATATGTGAAGTTACAATCTCTCACCATAAACAAAAAAATTACAACCAACAACAAAGCTTTTATATACACTATTTTATTTATATTTAGTTTTTATAGTAACATAATGGATATTTAATTTGTATGTGTAACATATTATCATATTATCATTTTCTTAAATTTTGTATCATTACCTACAATTTATATTCATATATTGATAGTTTGTAAAATATTATTTTCTGTTAAGAAGTAAATGATCCAATGGGTTGACCCGAATAACCCATAATCCGACCTGACCGAACTTGAATTAACCCGCAATCCAATAAACCCATAATTTGATGCACCCGTAACCCGACCCGATCCGTAACCCAATTGACTAGTGACCTGATTGACTCGTAACCCAATTGACCTGCAACCCAATTAAACCCGATCCAAATTGAAACCGACCCGATTGAACTCGCAACCCGATTGAACCCAACCCGGTTAGACCCAATCCGAACATGACCCAACCCGCCCAATTGACACCTCTACCCACAATATATGCGGTTTGGTGCGGTTTGCGGATTACCCGCAATGCGCAAACCAAACTTCCACCCATACTTACAATTATATCCCCACCAAAAACAACATTGCCCTAAACAAAACAGACACCAACAACTCTTTCGTAAAACGGCTCCACACTTTGATCTCACCCTCAATTTTCTCTAGCTTCTTGGTTTGATAAGCACGTGTAAGGGATCAAGCTTACGGGCAGTGAGCGACACAGTATCCACATTATCTACCTCTCCTTCCTTGAGGCGCCACTCGAATTGCTGCACCATCCTCCCGATCGATGTGCAAACAATTAGCATCGCCTGGAGGGCTCCGGCACAAGCCCTCTTCCCACTCCCAAACGCCATCGTTTTGTGCAGCTCCATGGGGTCTGATCCCCCACCCAGGAACCTCTCCGGCAGCCACTCGTCGGGGTTGTCCCATTGCTTGCTGTCCATGTTGCATCCGTACAGGTTGATCGCTATCTGCAAAACCAAAGCATGTAAAAAAAAAAGTCAACATGATCAGTAACGTAGTATTATGTAATTTGTCAGAGTTATATATTCGAAACAATGTTAACGTAGTATTATGTAATTTGTCAGAGTTATATATTCGAAACAATGTTTACCTGAGTTCCAGCAGGGACGTGGTACCCTCCTAACTCGGTGTCGACATCCACGTGGCGCAAAGGGATGACGGGGACAGGACTATGCCTTCTGAGCGTCTCGTGGAAGATGGCGCTCAGGTAAGGGAGCTTCGACAAGTGTTGCTCGGAGACTTCATCGGATCCACAGACTGCCTGAATTTGCCGGAGGAGCCTTTCCTGAGTGTCAGGATTCTTGGCAAGCTCATACATTGCCCATTCTGAGCTCACCAACGTCGTATCCGACGTCTCGGCGATCGTCTCCCAAATCAACATCGAGATCTGGAGATCTGTCAGGTTCTTGCCTTCCGCCAGCAAGTAGTCAACGAAACAATCAATCACCTCTCCGGATGCAATTCTTTGCTTCTGTTCGGCGATCAGGGCGCTCATCACCGCTTGTCTGCGGTAATGCATCTGCTCGATCTTCTCTTCGAAGCTCGGGTTGGGAATCCAGCTCAGGGACGGGAAGAAATCTCTCCAGTCTACTTCTATAGCTCCGTCCATTGGGTCGAGCACTAGAGTTTTGAAGATTCCTTCTCTGGAAACTGTAGTCCCCAATTCCTCGACATAGATGGACTGCACATCCTTCCCGATCGCTTGCCTCATGGATAAACCGAAGAGCTCGGACTCAAATACCTTCCTGAAATTCAGAGCCTTTTCAGGATGGAACTTGGCGTGAGCTTGGAATTGGGTTGCTATATTGTCCACCATTATGTCTCTCTGAGAACGAAGTCTTTTCTGTCAAATTCAGCAGCCATAAGCAGTAATCCATCAGGGACTCTGTTTTTCTGTCTGCAAAAAAACAGAGTACTCTGAAATGTAATGCTGCAGTATCCATCTAAAAAAAAAATAACCTGGGCGCTTGGGCTCAAAAGGTTTGCGAGGACGTGGCGTTTCACCATCTTGTGGAAGTCGTCATAATCGCTCATGGCAACCATGGTTTTGTCCTGAGTGAGCACGGACAAAGCCCTGGATAGCTTCCTAGTACTTATGGATGAGAATTTGGTCACCATGGCCTGAAACAGAGTTTGGACAATGAAAATCGAGGCTTTTCAATTAAAGACTGCCAGTTTTGTTTAACAACCCAGAGATGAGACATCAGGCCATAGCTAGCTTTAGCCAGAACACAGCAGGCCGACAAAATTTCTTCAATGTACTGGTGGGCTGTAAAAGCTTCATAAAAGAGGGGGGAAGTAGCCACTAATCTATAAAGGCTGGGAAGCCTATTGGTGGGCTGTGAGTCAAATTCCACCACCAGAATGTTTTTGGGCCAATTACATTTTAGTCAACCTTCAGTTGGTTCTAGTCGTTTTCAACCAACCGGTTGATATGATAATTGATAAGAACAGGTTTAGACGAGACGATGAAATTGCTTGATTTCATGAATATAAGTTCATACATACTCAATCAAACATATCTCCATTTCACATATCACCCCCAGTCTTTGGTCCGTAAACTTGATATGGGTAGATTAAGTGTTGATTAGTTTTGTCAGCCTAAGGACAGTCGACTTGACAAGAAAACAGAGTGCGTTATGGGATCAACCCAAATCAGTAAATTAAGGTGGAGTTGACAGCGAAATCTGACCTCTTTAACAACATCTGTAGTGTTGAGAACGACGACGGAGGAGGAGCCGGTTTTAATGGAGTAGATTGGTCCGTATGTCTCTGCCCAATTCGCAAACGTTTTGTGGGGTTTCTTCTCCTTCAGCTGCAGCAAGTTCCCGATCACCGGCAGCCCCGGGACCTCTGCAAATTCCGATCAATTACAAATTCTAACAACAAGAAAAGAGAAAGGAAGGGAAGGGAAGAATTCATTAATTACCTGGAACCAGCCGGAGATGGGAGTTGTTGGCCTTCTTCTTATCGACCATAAACCTTTTCACGAAATAGACTGAGAAAACAAGCCCGCCCACGGCGGCTGCAGCAGGAGTGGCTTGGAGACTGGGAAGAGAGGTGGTGATGGAAGCAGGCTCCATTTTCTGCTTTGTGGGTTTTGGATGGGAAGTGGACTTTCTCCCCTGTTTCGACTCTGTTTTTTTGGTGGAGAGAAGGAAAGGGTGGTGTTTTTTTATAGAGAGGATGGAGGAAGACACAATTGAGTGGAGTGAGCGAGGGAATCAGTTCGGTGGTTGGTGTGGAAACAAGTAATTATGATGCGAATCAAAGTTCAGACAGGGCAATTGAGAAAGTTCAGAGATTCATAAACTGTCCTTATTTGGATCTGCTTGCCAAATTGACACACAGAGCTCGGCTTTTCGGCAAATAGGCAGCCGCGCGGCTGCCTATTTGCCGAAAAGCCGAGCTCTGTGTGTCAATTTGGCAAGCAGATCCAAATAAGGACAGTTTATGAATCTCTGAACTTTCTCAATTGCCCTCTCTGAACTTTGATTCGCATCATCATTACTTGTTTCCACACCAACCACCGAACTGATTCCCTCGCTCACTCCACTCAATTGTGTCTTCCTCCATCCTCTCTATAAAAAAACACCACCCTTTCCTTCTCTCCACCAAAAAACAGAGTCGAAACAGGGGAGAAAGTCCACTTCCCATCCAAAACCCACAAAGCAGAAAATGGAGCCTGCTTCCATCACCACCTCTCTTCCCAGTCTCCAAGCCACTCCTGCTGCAGCCGCCGTGGGCGGGCTTGTTTTCTCAGTCTATTTCGTGAAAAGGTTTATGGTCGATAAGAAGAAGGCCAACAACTCCCATCTCCGGCTGGTTCCAGGTAATTAATGAATTCTTCCCTTCCCTTCCTTTCTCTTTTCTTGTTGTTAGAATTTGTAATTGATCGGAATTTGCAGAGGTCCCGGGGCTGCCGGTGATCGGGAACTTGCTGCAGCTGAAGGAGAAGAAACCCCACAAAACGTTTGCGAATTGGGCAGAGACATACGGACCAATCTACTCCATTAAAACCGGCTCCTCCTCCGTCGTCGTTCTCAACACCACAGATGTTGTTAAAGAGGTCAGATTTCGCTGTCAACTCCACCTTAATTTACTGATTTGGGTTGATCCCATAACGCACTCTGTTTTCTTGTCAAGTCGACTGTCCTTAGGCTGACAAAACTAATCAACACTTAATCTACCCATATCAAGTTTACGGACCAAAGACTGGGGGTGATATGTGAAATGGAGATATGTTTGATTGAGTATGTATGAACTTATATTCATGAAATCAAGCAATTTCATCGTCTCGTCTAAACCTGTTCTTATCAATTATCATATCAACCGGTTGGTTGAAAACGACTAGAACCAACTCAAGGTTGACTAAAATGTAATTGGCCCAAAAACATTCTGGTGGTGGAATTTGACTCACAGCCCACCAATAGGCTTCCCAGCCTTTATAGATTAGTGGCTACTTCCCCCTCTTTTATGAAGCTTTTACAGCCCACCAGTACATTGAAGAAATTTTGTCGGCCTGCTGTGTTCTGGCTAAAGCTAGCTATGGCCTGATGTCTCATCTCTGGGTTGTTAAACAAAACTGGCAGTCTTTAATTGAAAAGCCTCGATTTTCATTGTCCAAACTCTGTTTCAGGCCATGGTGACCAAATTCTCATCCATAAGTACTAGGAAGCTATCCAGGGCTTTGTCCGTGCTCACTCAGGACAAAACCATGGTTGCCATGAGTGATTATGACGACTTCCACAAGATGGTGAAACGCCACGTCCTCGCAAACCTGTTGAGCCCAAGCGCCCAGGTTATTTTTTTAGATGAATACTGCAGCATTACATTTCAGAGTACTCTGTTTTTTTTGCAGACAGAAAAACAGAGTCCCTGATGAATTACTGCTTATGGCTGCTGAATTTGACAGAAAAGACTTCGTTCTCAGAGAGACATAATGGTGGACAATACAGCAACCCAATTCCAAGCTCACGCCAAGTTCCATCCTGAAAAGGCTCTGAATTTCAGGAAGGTGTTTGAGTCCGAGCTCTTCGGTTTATCCATGAGGCAAGCGATCGGGAAGGATGTGCAGTCCATCTATGTCGAGGAATTGGGGACTACAGTTTCCAGAGAAGAAATCTTCAAAACTCTAGTGCTCGACCCAATGGACGGAGCTATAGAAGTAGACTGGAGAGATTTCTTCCCGTCCCTGAGCTGGATTCCCAACCCGAGCTTCGAAGAGAAGATCGAGCAGATGCATTACCGCAGACAAGCGGTGATGAGCGCCCTGATCGCCGAACAGAAGCAAAGAATTGCATCCGGAGAGGTGATTGATTGTTTCGTTGACTACTTGCTGGCGGAAGGCAAGAACCTGACAGATCTCCAGATCTCGATGTTGATTTGGGAGACGATCGCCGAGACGTCGGATACGACGTTGGTGAGCTCAGAATGGGCAATGTATGAGCTTGCCAAGAATCCTGACACTCAGGAAAGGCTCCTCCGGCAAATTCAAGCCGTCTGTGGATCCGATGAAGTCTCCGAGCAACACTTGTCGAAACTCCCTTACCTGAGCGCCATCTTCCACGAGACGCTCAGAAGGCATAGTCCTGTCCCCGTCATCCCTTTGCGCCACGTGGATGTCGACACCGAGTTAGGAGGGTACCACGTCCCTGCTGGAACTCAGGTAAACATCGTTCGAATATATAACTCTGACAAATTACATAATACTACGTACTAATCATATTGTATTGATCCTTTTTTTTTACATGCTTTGGTTTTACAGATAGCGATCAACCTGTACGGATGCAACATGGACAGCAAGCAATGGGACAACCCCGACGAGTGGCTGCCGGAGAGGTTCCTGGGTGGGGGATCGGACCCCATGGAGCTGCACAAAACGATGGCGTTTGGGAGTGGGAAGAGGGCTTGTGCCGGAGCCCTCCAGGCGATGCTAATTGTTTGCACATCGATCGGGAGGATGGTGCAGCAGTTCGAGTGGCACCTCAAGGAAGGAGAGGTAGATAATGTGGATACTGTGTCGCTCACTGCCCGTAAGCTTGATCCCTTACACGTGCTTATCAAACCAAGAAGCTAGAGAAAATTGAGGGTGAGATCAAATTGTGGAGCCGTTTTATGAAAGAGTTGTTGGTGTCTGTTTTGTTTAGGGCAATGTTGTTTTTGGTGGGGATATAATTGTAAGTAGGGGTGGAAGTTTGGTTTGCGCATTGCGGGTAATCCGTAAACCGCACCAAACCGCATATATTGTGAGTAGAGGTGTCAATTGGGCGGGTTGGGTCATGTTCGGATTGGGTCTAACCGGGTTGGGTTCAATCGGGTTGCGAGTTCAATCGGGTCGGTTTCAATTTGGATCGGGTTTAATTGGGTTGCAGGTCAATTGGGTTACGAGTCAATCAGGTCACTGGTCAATTGGGTTACGGATCGGGTCGGGTTACGGGTGCATCAAATTATGGGTTTATTGGATTGCGGGTTAATTCAGGTTCATCCGGTCGGATTATGGGTTATTCGGGTCAACCCATTGGATCATTTACTTCTTAACAGAAAATAATATTTTACAAACTATCAATATATGAATATAAATTGTAGGTAATGATACAAAATTTAAGAAAATGATAATATGATAATATTTTACACATACAAATTAAATATCCATTATGTTACTATAAAAACTAAATATACATAAAATAGTGTATATAAAAGCTTTGTTGTTGGTTGTAATTTTTTTGTTTATGGTGAGAGATTGTAACTTCACATATTTTATTAATTTATAAAAAAATTGAATCAGTAAAAATTTGAGACTGAAGTAAAAAAGGTAGACTATATGCTTATATATCTCCAAATGAATCGTCTTAATTAAATATAGTATGAACTAGATGTGTGTCTCTTCATTTTCACGAAGACTTATGAACATCATTCCGAATCACCCACTTATATATCTTCACAATTTTTTATATATTCACGGTAACATCTCATCCGAAAACTTATGGGTCGAACAACGGTTCGCTCAAATATGATATTATCATCTAGTTCGAATCGTCGATTTATTAATTTATAAAAAATAAATAAAATCAGTAAGAAGTTGAGAATGAAGTAAGAAGGGTAAACTATCTACTTATATATCTTTATAGGGATCATTGATTTTGGGGATTTCATTAATTTTCATGGGTTGATTTTTTTAATATAGTTATGGATGGTGGAGATACGAATTTGTGTCTAACTTTTCCTATTATCTTAAAAAATTTATCCTTTGAATTTCATAAAATAAAAAATGAATGATAAGATATTTCACATATTATTTTTTTTAAATTAAATATTTAAGAAAAAACTCAATTTATACCATCAATTCTACAAATAATTTTCAATTATTATGAGAACAACAGTTCTTTCTTGGTAAATTTAAAAATATAATAATGTATACATTGAATTTTTGTACAAGCATTCGGGTCAAATGGATTATTCGGGTTATTCGAGTTGGGTTTGGTTCGGTTACGGGTTATTTGGGTTATGAATCATTCGGGTTATATATGGGTCGGGTTATGGGTTTGATCGGATAACGAGTTCATCGAGTTATGGGTTGATCGGATTGTGGGTCAATTGGTTTCGGGTTACGGGCGGGCTTCTGGTGGTTGATTTTTTGTTAAATCGGGTTACGGACGGGTTGTGGGTCGGGTGGGTTGGGCGGGTTATTCGGGTCGGGTTCAATTTTGACAGTTCTAATTGTGGGTAACCATACCCACAATTTCTGGATAGTGGGTTGGGTGTGGGTAGCAAAATATTAATTTTTATGGTTAGTGGTTAACCACTATCCACATCGGTTAACCCACAAAATCCACAATAACCACACTAAGTATATTTATTTATTAATAATACTTTGTAATATTAAATTACGTGAAAAGTAAAATGCTAAAAATTAAAATATGCTCCAAAATCAAATATATAGTTATTTATAAAACAAAAACAAGTCAATACATCGTGTTCGTATGAGGTACTTTTATTAAATAAGCATTGTCCACGTGGTATATGTTGATTTTATAACAATACAAAGCCAATAAATGTGGTTTATAGTTTATTTAGAACTTTATTAACTCTCTTTTATGTAGGTTTTTTGTTTTTGTGTAAAAAGACACTAATTTCGCAACTCGGGTTTTTTGTTTTTGTGTATACTTAGAATAGATCCCCTCCAACCCATGCTCGTTATCAATATGCATTTCCTAAAGAAAGTGAAGTGACATGTAAGTGAGTGAAGTGAATCGAGGAGAGGGAGGCTGACTACTTAGGAGGTTCCGAATACCGGATCCTCGCTCGTTCCATGTCTTGGGCTTCTTTACTTAGTTTTTAACTCAATGGGTTTTTTTTTGTCGTCACTCCGACCGATAGGTTTATCATGTACGAGTCCAAAGGGTGAAGGAAGGAAATTTTTGTGGGTATCCACATCCAACCCGCACCAACCTGTAATGGATAGTGGTTAGCCACTACCCACTATGTGGCGGGTTGTGGGTAGCATAATTCTATATTTGTGGGTGTGGTTACCCGCAAAATGTGGGGTGGGTAACCACACTCACCCCAATTTCCACCCCTAATTTTAAGTAAGTGGAAGGGTATGGAATAGAAGCCAACCCATGGCTATGAGAAGAAACTCTTCAGCCAAGTTCTATGGCGTGAAGGCTCACTAACAATATCTCCGGAGGATCGTATAGAAGCGGCAGCAAGAATGGCTAGGGTTGGGGGGAAATAAGGTTGTGGTTTTGTGGTTAAATCGCATTATATTGATACAATGGATGCATTTTAACAACACATTGTTTGGTTGTTGGGATTCTACTTTATGCATTGATTCACAGAAAGTTACTTTTATGGGGAAATGTCACATTTACCCTCAACTTTTAGAATAAGACAAAAAATATTGGGAGATATAAATGGAAAGAAAAAGTTGACACAAATCTAAACCCAACAATCGCAACAATCTCAACTTTTAGTTGAGATTGTATAATGCATCATTTTTTGTGATTGTTGGTGGGACCTACCTAAAACAATGCATGCATTGTTTAACATTTTGACACTTCCAAACATTGTATTGTGCACAAATCACAATACATGTATTCAACAAACACAATTCTAATAATCCCAACTTCCAAATAACCCCAAATTATAAATCTGAGTTGCAACGAGAAGTATTGATATTTCACTCTCATGACTTGACTCTCTCTCTCTCTCTTCGTCATTATTGGTGTTGGTTACCTATTATTTGGTGTTCTTTTCAACTTGAGTTGTTAAAATGGCACTTATTAGAATATATAATTTTGGATGGAAGCATACTGTAGCCAAGGAGGAGCTCCTTCCCTACGGACGCGTCTAGGTGAGCTCTCTCTATTTTGTCTGCTTGTACTCAATGTGAAAAGGACGTACACTATGCTTGGGTCCTTACAGTTGGTGTGCACTGTTGTTGTCCTATACATGCAGTATTGAAGACGTTTAATGTCGTTGCATGTGCTTGTACCACCACATAGTTGTCCATTTCCATTCCTATAAAACCGTTCCTATCTTTGAAGGGAATTCTCACAATTTCTTTCTTCCTCATTGGTAGATGTTCTTTTATTCATTTTTTTTGTTCTACTCGTTCCTTCTACAGTTGCATAATTGTTCATGGGATGACCATTTCATGTAATTCATCAACCGCATCATTGTTATTCTCCCTAGCCAATTCGTGTGGTTTCTCGGGAGCTGTATCCTTGATTCTTAATTCATGACGCGGCTGGTTGGGTAGCTTGCACTATAAATTCAAGGCATGAAGATGCATGACAGGTAGCGTACACTAAACAATAGTCAGTAAAATCAGGGAGGGTTATCACCATGGTTACTAAGGGTAAATTGGATTATGGAAAAATAAATTATTTAATTAATTTTTATAATAAATTATATTTTAGGCAGTTACAAAATCTATTAATTATAATTCTCTCTCTTCCTCTCGCTTCCGTAATCTCCAACCATATATAATTTCCTTATTTTTCTCAATCTTTCTGCGCAAAAAAAAAAAAAACTACTACCAATCCATTAGACAACCATTATCACTTCGAAGAGCACCAATACCATTATAGAAAAAATAAGAAGTCAATACCAAAACGTAAAACACTACCACTAACACAACATATACAACTTATTAACCACTACGATTGCAAATTTAACTAATACAAATACATGAAGATCACTACCAATACAATAACATCAATACCATAAAAACAACACCATTACATAATCAATACCAATGCGAAAAAACACTACCACTATCGTTATCACAATGTACACCACTTATTAACCAATACCATTGTAGATTGAACAAATACCAATATATGAAGATCAATATCAATACAATACCATCAATACCAATAAAAAATACAACTACGAAAAATCAATACTAATATGAAAGAAATACATACCAATGCAAAAAAAAGCTAGATCTCGAATCCGGCTGAGGGTTGCTTCCTCATCGTCACACCAGCAGTGAGTGAGAGAGAGAGAGAGAGAGATGGGATGAGATGGGGTGGGGTGGGTGTAAGAACGGAGTGATGGATGGATGGAGGACGTGGGTGGGCGGGTGGGTGGGTGGACAGAGAGGGAGGCATGGCGGACGGCGGTGGCTGCCGTTGTGGAGTCACGCCGAGGGGAGAGAGAGGGAGGAGACGGTTAGATTATTAGAGGTGGGATAATTATTTAGGGTTTAAGGATAATATATGGGGGAAAAAAATTAGGAATAGTAATCCAGTCTGGTTATTATTTTTTTTCCAAAATTATCCCTAATAAATCGTGTTTGTCAATTTAAAAATGTTAAAAATGAAATGTGGAGATGTAGGTAGCCACGATGGTTACTAAAAAAACAGCAACCATCCTAACTCATCCCGTAAAAGAAAGCAAAAGTGATTGTGCATAAGAAATCGACGTAACCTAAATCCTAAACTATGGTTATAACTTTTTTGTTACTATAAGAAACAAATGCCATCAAAATGTAAGGATTTTTCAGCTATATATCTACGACTGCAAGTGGTTGGGCTGTCTGCAATCTGCAGACGGGCAGGGCAGCAACCAACCAGTAAATCAATGGTTACCAATCAAAGTGGTCAAAAGAGTCTGGATCGGTCGGACCCTTCAAAATG